ACCTAGCCCCACACAGAAAAACAAAACTACCCACCGCTTGGGTTTTTTAAACTCAAATTTGAGTTATTTGACCTCTGTCCGTTTCATTTCAGTGCTAACATTTGAAAACGGCACAAAAGCCATTTGTAAACAAATGGTTTGTGGGCCCTTTACTCACTACTTGAAGTACACCCACGCGACACAACAGCAACATCGGGTAGGGGAAATTTTCCCCTTCCTGACGATGCTGTTGGTTTGCGTGGGCGTTCTTCGGGTAGCGAGTAAAGGGCCCACAAACCATTTGTTTACAAATGGCTTTTGCGCCGTTTTCAAATGTTAGCACTGAATTTCCTCTCGCTATTGTTGTCAAAAATAGAACGAAAGATTCGACTCAACCGTCTAGTTCCGTACAAGAAGCCAAAATTGAGTAATATGCGATATACCCAAATTTGAGTTAATTGAACTTAATTTTGGGTAGAAAAAATTGAAAATAACTTAGCGATGGGTAATTTTTTTGCCGTGCTTAAATGCAAACTACTTTGAGCCGGTTTACCCAAATTTGGCTTATCGTACGGAACATGGGAGATGAGTGAAAAGAACTTAATTTTGGGTTGTTTTGAATTTCTGTGCACGGAAGCCACGTGATGAGTGAAAGGAACTCAATTTTGGGTACTTTTTCTTACCGTGTGGGTAGAGTCGGTGTATAATGAGTCACGCCAAGAGAAAAACAGTGGAAGTCGCATCACGGTTTTCGAAAGATTCCCTTCCCTTTCACTTGGCAACAGAGGACGTCTGCATCAACTTCAAAGGACTTCTAGCGAGAAATTTAATTACCGGCTGCAGTAAATTATTATATTAGTGATTTTGTCGGATTAAATCAGCAATATATATTACAAATTCTCATTACTAATCATTACCAAACGAATCTAATTACAATTTAAATGCTCACTGCGTGTGTATGGTCATTTCTTCGATTAAATTTTATATTTTATTGCAATACCTTTCGTGTAGCATTCATAGCATCGTAATGTTTATTTATTTTGCACGATAGGTAGCCAGTTTGACAGTTCAATAGGTAGACTTGGCTTCACTCTTGGCGTGACTCATTATACACCGACTCTACGTGTGGGGTTTACTTCTCGACTCTATACACGTTAACTTCAGTTTACTCACCGGGTGAGTCGATCGTACTCACTTTCGTCCGATGTATCGAGTTGTCAAAAACTGAGTAAACGAGAAATGTCAAACTGAGTAAAAGCCACTCAGTCTGCAAAATCCTAGTCTTAGAAAAAAATGTCAACCATGTTGGAGGAAACGTCCTAGAAAACGGGTGAATGTTTCACTCAAAACAGGCGGAAATTCCTTCAGGTAAGTAGAAATTGCTTAGGGCAATGGTTTTAAACCATTGTGCTCCGGTAGAATGAATCCGAAGCAGACATTTTTCAATTCCTTAAATAAAATCAAAACAAAAGTAAAATTTCTTTAGTTCAAGCTGAAGATTGCATTAGGTCCGACTTTCTCTTCCGTCAATTACCGTTTCTTGTTGTTTTTGTCGTATTAGATGCTAGATGCTTATTTTATCGATGTGCTGAAAATACCTGGGAATGTATTTACATGGCCGTGGGGATACAAAGAGAAATTCGACGAAGAGAATCTGTCAATGTTACTTAGGACCTAATATAATGTTCAGCTTGAGTTGCTCTACACTCAAAAAAGTTGGAAGGGTTGTATACTAGATACGACCGCAGGGTTGGCGTTGGATAACGTCTGTTATGTGTTGTACTTAATTGTGTATATTATATTTTAGGAATATTCCTTAATAACTCTTTTGCGATATCTTTCCCCAAAGCGCGTTCGGACAACTCAGGCGTTTTCATTAATTTCTTCTCTCGATTTCGGAAGTGCACGACGTATCTGGAACTACCACACCAAAATGTATGCAGAATATTGTCGGTACTGGATTAGTAGCGGTAACCAGCAGGACCTACGTTGATTTAAGCTTAACACCCGCAGATTGATGAACGCTCCATCACATCACTTTAACCTTTCACATTCTGGCAAGAAAGTCAATTCTAAAACACCCTTTAAATTTATATGGTGGCCCTGAAAAGGGCCGGTTTTTTGTTCTGAGTCGATGAAACTAAATTAACCCTCGAATCCGTACAGAGTACGTCCCTGCCGCTTCAGACCGTAAACGACATCCATGGCGGTGACAGTCTTTCTCTTCGCATGTTCGGTGTAAGTAACGGCGTCACGAATAAAGTTTTCCAGAAATACCTTCAGCACTCCTCTGGTTTCTTCGTAAATGAGACAGGATATTCTCTTAACTCCACCACGACGAGCCAAACGACGGATTGCAGGCTTAGTGATGCCCTGGATGTTGTCACGCAACACTTTTCGGTGACGCTTGCTTGGCTCCTCCTTTGCCAAGTTCTTTTCCACCCTTGCCGCGTCCTGTCATTTCCTAGTATGACGATTGTAACGTCGATGAAAGTTGAAACAAAAGTGAACAAAAATTCCAAATTTTGGCTGTTTTATACCTACTCGAGGGTTAAATTCGTTTGGTTAGTTGTTGTGTTCTTGTTCTTTCATCGTTTCTGATTGGTTGAACACAGCAAACGCATGTTATAAAACAGAATGGAAGTGATTTTTATTTTTTATTCCACAGTGTGCTTTCATTGCATACACATCACAACCAGCTCAGCAGACCGCTCGCAAGTCCACTGGAGGAAAGGCTCCTCGCAAGCAGTTGGCAACGAAGGCCGCTCGCAAGAGCGCTCCAGCCACCGGAGGAGTAAAGAAGCCCCATCGCTACCGGCCAGGCACCGTCACCTTGCGTGAGATCCGTCGCTATCAGAAATCCGTCGCTATCAGAAATCCACCGAACTGCCGATCCGAAAGTTGCCTTTCCAACGTCTGGTCCGTGAAATTGCCCAGGACTTCAAGACCGATCTGCGCTTCCAGAGCTCAGCTGTTTGGCTCTGCAGTAAGCTAGCGAGGCCTATCTGGTCGGTCTGTTCGAGGATACCAATCTGTGTGCCATCCACGCCAAGCGCGTCACTATCATGCCGAAGGACATCCAGCTGGCTCGTCGTATCCTAACAAAACCGGCCCTTTTCAGGGCCACCACAATAATTCAAAAGAGTTGAAGTGACCTTTCGTTCCGTTCTAGTCTAGATTAAGTCTAGACTAACATTTGAAAAGGGCGGAACTCCAAAAAAAACCATATGATGACCTAAAAATTAATCCTATTTCACGACTTTCCATTTTCTGGTTGATTTTATAAGCTTGACATACAGTTAATAGTGTAATCTATCATCATGCATAACTAAAAACTCAAAAAAAGTTTTCTTTGTCGTGAAATTGAGAAGAAAACATCAAACGCTCTGATAATTTCATTCATGTTGTTACCCCCAGATCTTCCACACTTTGAACTGCCAACACTGGTGATACGCCGTGGAAGTACACCATCGGGATTTTTTGTTTGTTGTTCCGCCTTGTTTCTTCGTTCGTAAATTTTGTGAGAGTGGAATTACGCCCGCAGATGAAATATCAATCGGATGCGTTTCAAATGAATCGGGCGTGACTAGATACTACCGAATCAATACGTTTGGCATATTAAAACAATATAATTCGTTGTTCTGGTGCAAGGCGTAACAACCAGTTGCATCATCGAGTTGAAAGTTGGAAATACGCCATGTAAGAAGAAACGTTTTTGATAATATGAAGTGATATTTTCTTTTACTTTTTCGTGTTTATCGAGTAGTTTGTGAACTGTTCTCTCTATATGTGCCAAAATATGGTTTGTTTACATTTTGGCTCTTCCGCCCCTTCAAATGTTTCAAATTTCACTTTATTTTCATGTAGCATCAAAGTGAAAAGGTCTTTGCCCAATCCACTAGAAAATAACATATGGTACTTTCTAAGTAAATTTTATTATGTTTTCAAGATTCTCGTTGCTAAGAATTTAAAAACTATTTTTCGAGATAAAATATGGCTCTGCTGAATCTTCGCAATTAGAAAATTAATCGTTAAACTCTTTCTTGATAATGTTGTGGCCCTGAAAAAGGCCATTTTTCCAACGCGCTCGGCGTAGTTGCCCTTGTGGAGCATACGGTGAATACGACCGACTGAGAACTGCAGCAGCTGGGCATTCCATGACGGCGGCCCAGTATACCAGAGCACTGGCACCAACGCACTCGGCGTAGTTGCCCTTTCGCCCCCAGGCTCTGCTGCCGCTGCTCTGCTGCCGCTGCTCTGCTGCCGTTGCTCTGCTTCCGCTGCTCTGGTACTGCTGCTCTGCTGCTCTGCTGCTGGGTCGACGATCGGATAGACAATGATGGAACGGGCGACCTTGTTGGACGCTTATATAGTAGAACAGAAAATATCAGAGGTGTCAGATACTCGCATCTGATGTCTCGGTTGGAGAAAGTATAAGAATATAAAAAAAATCAATCGATTTTCACCATCTTTAGACAATCGTTTACTTTTAACCATTTTTCAATAGTTTACAGACTGAAATCAATAGTTTTGAAACTTTCAGCAAATTGCTAGAAATATTTCCAATCGATTGATGCCATTATCTCGTAAATCTATCGAGAGACGGTTGAGTTATTATCGTTCAAAATCTTTTAATTTTTCGTAACTCATCCAAAATAACTGTTTTCAATTTAGTACCCCCGTATGTTGCCGAAAGACGTTATCCAACGTCAAAAATGTGCACGTCACTTGCCTATTCAATTGATCAATCACAATCATTTCAGTGCTAACATTTGAAAACGGCGCAAAAGTCATTTGTAAACAAATGGTTTGTGGGCCCTTTACTCGCTACCCGAAGAACGCCCACGCAAACCAACAGCATCGTCAGGAAGGGGAAAATTTCCCCTACCCGATGTTGCTGTTGTGTCGCGTGGGTGTACTTCAAGTAGTGAGTAAAGGGCCCACAAACCATTTGTTTACAAATGGCTTTTGTGCCGTTTTCAAATGTTAGCACTGAATTTTATGTGTTTTACACGCTTATTTCTCGTGTTTCTAACGTTTCTAACTATGAAAAAATATCATAAATTCAGGTGTATTGCACGTTACATTCCATTAAAATATTCATGAATCTGCGCTACAGTGAAAAACATACAGATTCGAAGTATTTTGCTCATAGAATGCTTGCTTAGCAAAATTAAACAAAAATATTTTGCTTTCAACCAGTCAGCTTCAAGAGAGTAACATAAAAACCCTGGTTTGGACCTGAATCCAAATGTATAGAAGCGGCAAAAACAAATGGAAAATGTTAAATTTTGAACCCGTGGGCGGACGTTTGCGGCCGATAGATCCAGGATTGTTGTAAGGTATGGGTTTTTTAGTGGAAAAGATACATTCATTGATTTATTTCAGTTTGTTTTCAGCGTTGGTGGAGTAGTCTATTGATGTTCGGAGAAATCGATTACAGAGGATATTCTGAGAACTGTAAATTTAGTGACATATACCAGATTAAAAAGTCTTTTTTGTTTGATTTGTTTAAACTCATTCCCTTATCCATCATGATGTTTCACCGTATTGGTTTAAGTATGGGTCAATTCTATCTGAAACGATTATATAGAGGAAGAAAATTAATGGGTAGAGTAAGTTATTTCTGAAATACTTCCCCCCAATACCATTAACTCCCGATTATCTTTTTCTTTTCAGAAATGTTCTTTACAGTATACGGGGAACAACTCATGTCGAGGTTTAGTGAAACTTTTGAATACATTTGTGAATATTGAAATGTTCACTATTATATTTTTGTTAATTATTAGATCATTCTAGATCTTGTCCCATATGCATAGGAAATCAAGCAGAGATGGCATAGTTTTACATTTATGAGCAGCAGCTAGCATATACCTACATATTTCATAATAAGAAAATAAAAATTGAATAATAAAACTTCGTTTCAAAATACATTCTATTTATTACTTAAATGCAGGGTTGCTTCCACTCACTTGCTATAAAAAATTGTTTTTCGGAATTATAAAATCATTAGATGATGTAACGATATGTTGTGGTGGGCATTGGCCAGAGTTGGATTTTTCAGATATAATCCTAAATAGGACCTAGATTATTTTAATACTCTAGTAACCTCAAGTCCGTGCTCTGTCACAATGTTTCATTGTGATTAATCAACACTCAAAGGGGTAAAATATCAAATTTGGGGTGAATTTGAAAGAAAGGGAACTTGGAGTGTAGAGCGCACTGCCCACTGGACGATTCTGAAGCCTGGCCAAGTGAGTGGGGTATGGGTTTATTTGATTAAACGTCATTTCCAATGTATATATTGATACATTCAAACCATTGGCATTTGAGATAAGACAGAGATAGGATGCGGAGGGCCCGCTTAGGGGAAGCGTATCCCATGTTATGGTTTCCATTTATTAAATAGTTCAGATAGGCTGGAAATGACAGGTTCATAGTGAGAAAATGTACCATATGGGGCCCGTTCACTGATCAAAATCAGATTCTCATCGTCAGGTCCTGCCCAAAAATAAGGGGATTGACGATGTCTTGTCAAGTTTTATTTTGAATTTGCGTTTTGCATTTAATACTCTAGTAAATCTCGCGTCCGTGCTCATTCACAACAGTGTGAGGTGTCAATACTCACTGGGTCATATGTCTTAGACCAGTTCCAGATTAGTTTGCTATTAATATCTTCTGCATCGCAGTTCGCGATAGATTACTAAATATGGGTTCTCTTTTCCGACTATAATAGTGTGAGGGAAGGGGGTGAGTTAAACGTTGCGATATGAGAGCGAATAGAGGCAAATAAATAGGGAAGACAACACCATGACCCAAATAAGTAACCAATGCATGCGGCTCACACTTAACTTGTTCTATTTCTTTCTTTCTTCCTATCATGTACTAATATTAACTGCCTGAGGACAAATGGGAACACGACCAGAAGATCAATAGGAGAAAAAGAAAATTCGAACAAGAAAAGAAGAATTAAACTTGCACCGGCAAGAGGAAGCAGACAGAAAGGATCATGCCGGTTGGAGACACCCAATGTATACTGGACGAAGCTTGTATCTAGGAAAAGTCGTATGTACAGGAAACCGTAAGTAGGATAAGAATCGTAAAAGGTGTGTGCTTGCTTGATAAGATCCTAACTTTACTTTAAATACACGGTAGGAATCGAATATCCATTTATGATTAAGGTTTTGCCCATTTTTCAGTGGGAGTGGCAATACTCATTGATGAGTGATTTTAGAGATGAACTAGCCTAAGGCTAAAAATCTCTTAAATAAAGAATAAAAAAAAAAAAATTGATGAGTGATTTATCGTACCCATTTATTAGTAACTGTTAGCAGCTAATGATTAATTGATTTACCTATTTTAGAATTACCTATACTTCACATCAGAACCTCATTTCCTTCAATTACTACTCCGTCGCAGCACACACCTTATATGGATCGCTAACCTTTATTTAGTTTCAGCATTTTAGACATTATAATCAAAAGGTGAGTTTTAAAAGTATAATTACCATGCATATAGATAAGTTAATGTACCAGAACCTGGACGGACACGAGTCTACCCAGGGGAGGACCCGGATACGACCACCCATGTGTGTCTAGAGTATCGCACGAGCTGACGAGTGCAACGGGAAGGACAGTAGGTGTATAGACTAGGGGGTTGGTCCCTAGATAAGCCTTCTTAGCGGAAGGCACAGCCTATGCACTGAACAATTACAATTAAAATCATTAGATGATGTAACGATATGTTGTACTTGTAAGTAACAAGAAGAGGGTGTAAAGTATGTGTTTGACTCATAAAACCTGTCAATTTCGCTTACAAAACGTCACAATCTGCGATCTTATGATTCGTGAGCGTTCACTCAGAGTGAGTGCTCACGAGTCGTAAAATCACTGATTGCGACGCACTGAAAGCAATATTGACAGGTTTTTGATTTCATAATTCTGAAAAACAATTTTTTATAGCAAGTGAGTGGAAGTAACCCTGCTTAAATGTAAGGCCCTCAAATTAATTATGATTAACAGTATAATTTCATGTATAGATAACGTTGCGGTAATGAGTGAGACTGTTAATATCAATAAACGAGGTACATGAAATCTAAATGTGTCATAATTGGTTTTATAGTGCTCATGAGTTAATTCATATTATACACGGACAGAAAATTGTTTGCATTGAACCAAAAAAAAACTTTAGTTGTATTTAAACAAACAATAACTATTTTTACAATAGTTGCAGTTGAAAAGTGGCTTATTAAAACAAAAAGAATCCTATTTTGAATTTATATGAATAAGTATTATTGAAACAACAAAATGCAATATAATTTCAACCGGAATTGTTTGTTTAAATACAACTAAAGTTTTTTTGTTCAATGCAAACAATTTTCTGTCTGTGTATCACTGTGAAAACCAACTAGAATCATTCTAGAGCATAATGCAACATTTCCAAAGGGTGAAACCGCTATTGTACACATGCAAATTAAATGCACCATCAGGTAGAATAATATTTCCTCTACCAGCTGACTACCAGCTTCAAATTAACAGAAGTGAACTTTTTGAATTGTGAGAAATCGGCGGTCTACACACTAAGATTTTTTTTACAGTATACTGTATTTTTTTCCAAATATGGAACAGCTGAACATTCGGTAATTTTTTGGATTTACAATTTGTTCGGTAAATTTGTCTTAACTCTTGAGCTGTCAAAAGTTACTGGCCTGGACTGTAAATAATACTGAATGATTGGTAAAGCTTACAATAGCGTTCAGTAATGTTTTAACCGAAATATCTGTAAATTATTTGCCATTGTGGTTATATAAATTGCAATTTAATCAGCAATAATTAACGAACGGCTTGTTCCATTAACATATATTTTATGTATTTTCCCTGGTATTTTGAACTTGTTGTAACACGCCAAGAAAAGGATTCTTCAGGTCCAGGTCCAGCAGGGAATCTAAACCAGGTTATCGACGGCAACATGCACTTGAGGGAAACATCAGGTCACCTTAAGTCCAGATGACTGGAAGCGATGGCCTAGGATCGAATTGAAAGTAAAACAATTATCCGCTCCATATATTCAGCGGACTATAGCCAAATACTTACTTTTCCAAACAATACTCCTTTTCGAAATATCGACAAAGGATGTTTTTGACAGTATGACATTTACAAATCTGTTCCGTAATATTTACAAGAATCTGGTACTTTAATACCGTTTGTTTTTGTAAAAGACTATTTTTACAGTACGTTCGCCACTTTTTTTTACAGTATTATAGAATTGCAGCCATTTACAGTTTAGATCAGTTATTTTTATTTACAGTTTTCGGTAATTTTTGGAAAGTACGTAAATTTAGTATTATTTATTGCTGAAAGTTTGTATAATGATACATTTTACATAGCTTTCGGTACAAAATATATTTTACAGAACGAATTCAGCAAAAAAAAGTACCGAATAGAATTTAAGAAATTTGGTGTGTATATAAGTCATTGTTTACAAAAGCAGTTTCACCATAATGAAATGTTGATACTGAGTTGTATTTTCCATCTAAATTTATGAGTATTCAAATGTTTGCCTAAAACCTCGCCTAAAACTATACCGTAGTTAGTAAACAGTCCCTTAGTAAACTCACTAAATTTCTCTGTAGAAATCACACATTTTTCATCATCACATTACATCACACAGCCGCTAAATCACTTGTTTCCTTTTTAGAATTTTGCAACCATCATCCGCATACAAACATACATAACACATTGAATACTTTTCAATTTAAAACATCGTTGCTAAAACACTACCGCCATCTGTTGAGTATACTGTGATGGGTAGTACGCTGAACAGATGGCGGTAGTGTGTAAACGTCAAACGCAAGGGTTATTGACTATGCGCGCCACAGGTGGCGGTATTACCAACTAAAAACATTTAAATTGACCGTTAAATGCGTGTTCGATGAACAAATTGCCAGTGTTATGTCTGTTTGTCTGTGCATCATCCATATAGCAGTTCTCACTTCGAAATGTAGGTGGTGAAATCTCACAAAAGTTTCACTGCAAGACACCAATAGCGAAAAATTTTCCTAATAAAAACAAATCAGTGACACAATCTAACTTTAGAAATCTATACAGTCTATATATAGACGTAAATCACAGGCCGTAAATATATTACGTGATATTTTGATATCAGAACCATTAAATTATGACGTTTAGTCGGACTTGCGACTTTCAACGGCAATTGTACACTATTCTGCGATGCACAGGACAATAGTATTTAGTATTTACCTACATTATTTGACAAATTCCGTGCGTTCTTATTGATGAATTTACGCGAAACTGCACCAGTGCATGCGACGCCTAGGTTTGAAATTCAAAACCACAAAAGTGATGATGTACTAAAAAATATCCCATTCGATTTGACAGGAAGCAAAACGTCATTATCATTTGCACATCATTTCCATCTGCTGAGTGCTGGTCGACCGTAACGTAAATTCATCATTTTTTTTTTTTTTTTTTTGTCGGGAAAATTAATCTGCTTTGTTTTATATTCTGTTGATAAAAACAGCGTCGATCTTGAGGTTTTAAAACATTTGTTGGACTTCTGCAATCGAACATTTAAAATCAAAACTCACTACAATATTTTTTTCAATATTATTATGCATTACAAGAAATTTTTAATTTATTAGTTGTGCGCAAATTATTACAAACTACGCTTCTACCACAGACAAACAGACATAACACTCACAAGTTATTCATCGAATAAGCCTTTAACGGACAATTTAAAAGTATCGCAGTTGGTAGTATCGCCACCTGTGGCGCGCATAGTCAATTCCCTTGCGTTTGACGTTTACACACTACCGCCATCTATTCAGCGTAGTGCCCACCACAGTGTACTCAACAGATGGCGGTAATGTTTTAGCGACGATGTTTTACAGTGAGAAATATTCAATGTGTTATGTCTGTTTGTCTGTGCTTCTACATTAATAAGGACCCGAAGTCACCAAAAAGATTTAACGTAAAACCAAAGTTTTATAAGTGTTTGCGTATTGCGCGTAACATTAGTTGTGCGCAAACAACTACATACTTAGTTTTTTTTCTACCGAGCTCGGCTGTGCAAATCTCGACAAAAAAAGTTTTACTGAGATCCCAGCAAACATTTCAATTGTTGTACTAGTCTACGCTGGTTGACGAAATAAATAAATAAATAAATTATCCGAGACTCAGCAATCAAATATCACTTTTACTGAGATCTCAGTGCAATTTATTTTTTCGAAGATTTGCACAGCCGAGCTCGGTAGAAAAAACTAAGTGTGTACGTTTTTACGTTAAATCTTTTGGGTATCTTCGGGACTCATCAATGTAGAACCGTAAGCGTTTGTGCAAAATCAAATAGGGGAAATGGCTCTAATGTTGGTCTATGGATCTAATAGCGAATTCGTTTATTATTCAGTTCCAACCTGGATCGGGTATCAAGATTGGGTCTGCTTGTTTTCTGACAAACGTCAGTTTGCTCGTTTGTTTTAAAACCTAGCTCAGGTTGAGGTTCACACTGACAAAAAGTTCGGTTTCGCACTGGGTTGGAACTGGTGTTAACCCCGATAATAAACGAATTCGCTATAAGATCGTGCCCATCGCTAAAAATCTGCTATTTATCAATTTTATGTAGATAAACATAACATTGGGACGATACTAATGGATATTTTTGGTCGCTATTGAAAATTTAGTCGATTGCTGTATTTATGTATGGGCTAAAATTAGGGAAATTTAGTCCGACATTACATCCATTACCCCTAGCTTGCGTATTATTTACTATGATAAGCTCTGCAAAGATTATGGCACGTGTTAAACAGCACTGGTTACGGCCAAAATGTTTTTTTTATTAATTTTAATGGTTCAAATTGATATGCCTTTAGCTGCAAATGGTTCAGTTGTTTTTTTATCGTAAATTGCGAAAACATTCAAACCATCAACTATGCTATCTTCTTTCAATTATCTTGCGTAACTCACTTTTCGCGCACGTAATCGATCGCTCTGTTTTTCACCCGTGCCAACGATTTTCTAATGTACACTAAGTACAGCCGACGGCCAGTTTCTTCTAATATAAGGTTTTCCCCCCTTTTACTTTCATGGATAAGCACTTAGTACCTGTATGAACAAGTTCTTTCTGTAGCCAACACAAGGCGGATCAACTGTTGGTATGCAAGAGTTACTGTTATGCGATTTTTAGGGGAAAAAAAAGAAAGAATTTATCGCATCTTTCCATTTTTAATGTGCGTTTGCAGGTGGGGTCTGGTGGAGACGTAATGATTTTTAAACCTATTTGAACTATCAAAATCGAACCATTTTTTCTGTTGCAAGAAGGAAATAAATTTAAAAGTATTGGAATTTGAGTGAAATGAAAGTCAATTGTTAATTTTTTCACAATTCACTTCAAAATGGTTCCGATGATCATGTTCCGTTTTACCGGTGCACTTGCAGTGCATGTACACATAGACGAGTGCACGGATGGATTTGAGTTCACTTACTCGAGAAAAAGTGGCAAAAGCTACTAGCATTTGGCAATGTTTATTGATCATGAACACTAATAGCGAATTTGTTTACTATCGGGGTTGGAACCAGTGCGAAACCGAACTTTTTGTCAGTGCACTGAACATGCGAACCTCAACCTGCACGGCAAGAAAAAAGTGCCCAAAATTAAGTTCCTTTCAATCAACTCGTGGCTTCATACACAGCAAAAAAAAATGTAATATCGATCAACGTAATTCAAGCTGATGTATGAAATAATGATGTAATAGCAAAAAGCAGATACAATATTACATCAATGGATGTAATTTTGTTCACAAAATCGATGTACATCGTACAATGTGATATTACACAACCGATGGATTGACCTGGTTGCAGCAGTTTCGATGTAATATTCAACAACTTTTTTTGCTGTGTAGTCCTCTCCAGGCTAAAGCCCTACAGTAAAAGTATGGACGTCTGTCAAAAGTTGTTCCAATCGAACCGTCAAAATGCACCGCTTTGCTCGATTGGAACCAATGAGCTGTACCTCATTGGATTGGAACAGCTTTTTTCAGTTTTGTGGTGACAGTCGTCCATACTTTTACTGTAGGGCTTTACTCCAGGCGGGTTCGTATTGGTGAGATTTGCGTGTGTTGTGAGATGAAATTTTTTGTTAGCCGTGAGAAATTTTTTGTTTGCTGTAAGAACTGTCATTCTAAAGTAAAAATAAACAACAAAACGAAAACAAACCCTACGCTTGCACGATAACAGTCAAATACCCTTTTATGAGTAAAATTTAACCCGTTTTTAATAAAAGTGGTTTTACTCATTAATGAGTACATTATTTTAACAAGAATGAGTTTCTGCTAAAACGCTGTCCACACTGGAGAGTTATAACATGTTATAACGGTTGTCAACTAATTGCAACACAGAAACCACCATCAAGAGAGCGCTATAACATGTTATAACTCTGTAGTCTGAACGTACTATAACAGTAGCAAATAATTACTACTTAATTGACATAATAAATTATTGATTAATTAGTAGTGCCACTTTTATTGACAATGGGTTCACTTTAAATCATAAATGGATGTTTTATTCTTACCGTGCACATGACAGTATACGCTAGTGTGTGTAAAATTATATTATTAGGGTAGTGTTCGTGAGATCCTGCTTGCCCGCATAAACGCGAACCATAAATTAACCTTACCTAAAATGGTTAAAAATTGTTTATAATCCCTGCTAAACTTTAACTGAAATGGTTATGGAACTTTACATGAACATTTAATGATAAAGTTTCAACCTTATGTATTATGGTTTTTTGGAACTGGACCTTACAAATAATGGGTTGTTAAGAACCATTACCGTTCCAAATTCTTGTTTTCTCCATACATTTTCGGAAAGAGAACTATATTAGAACCTTTTAACTTATGGTTTGAGAACTTTAATGGTAATGGTTATGGTAGTTAGTAAGGTCCACGAATAGTTTTGTAACATCGACCAACTTTATGTGGAATATATCGCGAATTGGTTGCCTGTAATTTACTGATTACCAATTCACGATATATTCCACGTAAAGTTGAGCGATTATACAATACCATTAATGGACCTTACTGACTACCATAACCATTACCATTAATGTTCTCAAATCATAAGTAAAAACGTTCTTATATAGTTCTATTTCTGAAAATGTATGGAGAAAACAAGAATTTGGAATGGTAATGGTTCTTAACAACCCATTATTTGTAAGGTCCAGTTCCAAAAAACCATAATACATAAAGTTGAAACTTTATCATTAAACGTTCATGTAAAGTTCCATAACCATTTCAGTTAAAGTTTAGCAGGGATTATAAACAATTTTTAACCATTTTAGGTAAGGTCAATTTATGGTTCGCGTTTATGCGGGTGGAGAACTCAATAGGGCTAGGTAAAATTAAGTTAAACGCTGTCCAGACTGGAGAGTTATAACATGTTATAACGGTTGTCAAATAATTGCAACACAGAAACCACCATCAAGATAGCGCTATAACATGTTATAACTCTGTAGTCTGAACGTACTATTAAACAAGAAAACTCAATTTTGAGTAATCTTGTTGAAGAATCCATTGAGTAAAAATTACCTAACGATCAATCGAATGGAAGAGGTGAAAAATACCCAACGTACCAGTATCCAACCGGTGTTCGTTGCAATTTTTTTGTCACTATACCCCCTACGGACACCATACACAAACGATATCATAGATGGTACGACCATACCGCATAGAGTTGGGATGATATCCTGAATTGGTTCCCTAATAAAAATTGTATGGTTAATTTGCTTAACGACGTGTTCTGGGTATCATCCAAACCATTTGTGGAATAATTCAATGATTTGGGTTATCGTTCGTTTATGGTTATTTTTTATTAGGGTTATTAGGCGTTTCTTATGTTTATGTGGGATATGTACCAAACTCTAACGAAGACTAATGCGAGGACTAATTGAGCAGGAAAGGAGGCGATGGATCACAAACAAATCACAGCGTCGATGGCAGTGCAGGTTGCTATGATTTTCATCCAAAATTAAGTTAAAAGTACCCAACGGTGAAAACATAACGGTTGAGTACACTGATAAAATTCCAAAAATTATTTTTATGTGTCCCACACATGAATTTTTGCAATGTGATCAACAAATGATATCTATGTGTAGGACACATACTTACACGAACAGAAAATTGTTTGCATTGAACCAAAAAATACTTTATTTGTATTTACACAAACAATTCCGGTTGAAATTATATTGCATTTTATCACAAACGAAGTGACAGACGACTAACTGGCGAAGAAATCCATTTAAATAATGTGGTTCACTGTAATAGAATTTTCTTGGAAGCTTGTGCCATCATCCACCAGATGGGCTAGTTTTTTGTTTTGATTTGAACAAAGTTGATTTTGTGTACAATGATTCTTTGACAGTGTGCAAAGAGTGCGTATCATTTTGTCATTTTTTTATGCATTTCAGTTTTGAGATAGAACCAAAACATTCTAGTACATTCGGTGAAAATGCTAGTTCAATCTAGTAGTAGCACAAACGAAGTGACAGACGGAGCGGCTCGAAAACTTTGGTGACTAACCTGCTATTTCAATTTTTCAGTGTACCACATGGCAACACCACTACTACTGGGTTGTACCACATGGCAACACTACTACTAGATTGAACTAGCATTTCAAGCAGTTCAGTTCGGTGTTAGCTCGCTCTCTCGAGTTGTTTGAAAAGTTCATTGCGATAGTGTTCGCGCTCTCTCTTTCGCGGTTTGTCGTGCGTGTGTGTGTGACCCGTAATGGGGAAGCATCGGTCGCGAAGCCCGGCGAAGGTCCAGAACCCCGGAGAAGGAAGCTCCGGTGTGCCTACCTCGAACAGGTTTGCTGTTCTCCCCATGGATGGGAATATCCAGCCAGCTGTGTTGGAAAAACGCAGTAAGAAGAGGAAGAAGAATCGAGGCCAGTCCGATGTCACTGCGACAAACAACAGCGATGTTGGAGATTTCGGTGACGCTGCCGAAACCGTGAATACTGCCGAAATGAGCTCGGCAAAAGTGAAGCTACCTCCATTGGTAGTGAAAAATGCCCATCTTAATGTGCTCATGGCGGATCTAGCGACGCTGGGTGTTAAAGCCGAATACAAGTTGGGCAGAGTCGGCACTAAAGTGATGCTCCGTACCAAAACGGAGTTTGACGTGGTCGTCGCCCACCTGAGGACTTCCAAGGTGGAATTCTTTACCCACGACATTCCCGGTGAGAAGCCGTTCAAGGTCGTCATCAGGGGCCTACCAAACTTCGACCCGAAGTTTATCGAATCAGAAATCAGGGACCGGTACAAGCTGGCCCCAAGTGCCGTGTATCGAATGACAAGAAGAGACGAGAATGTGAAGGCGTATCCGGATAGCCTTTTCCTGGTTCACTTCCAGAAGGGAACGGTGACGCTCAACGCACTGAAAGCCATCCGGTCCATCAATTCCATCATCGTTCGCTGGGAGCCATACCGTGGCGGCCATCGCGATGTGACTCAGTGCCAGCGGTGTCTGAACTTCGGACACGGTACCCGCAACTGCAACATTAAGCCACGCTGCGGAAATTGCGCTCAAGACCATGCCACCTCCGAATGTCCTGCGGATGAAGCTGTGGCGTCCAAATGCGCCAACTGTGGTGGTGCTCACCAAGGATCCAACAAGCAGTGCCCTAAACGCGAGGATTTCAAGCGCATCCGAAATCAAGCGTCCACCAACAATCAACCAGCACGAAGGAAGGATAAGGCCCCGGCTTTCAGGACAGAGGACTTTCCACCTCTTCGTGGACAAGTGAATCCCAGGGTGCGATCCACGCCCTCTCAAGAAACGTCTGGATCTTCTACTGGACAAAGCTCTCCATCCCCCCCTGGATTCTGGAGGCAACCAACAGCTCAAACAAACAATCCCGATCTGTTCTCAGCAGACGAACTGATGGAGATTTTTATCAACATGACCGGTGCTCTACGTAAGTTCCGCAATAAGCCCGAACAG